TCAGTGCTTCCACTTTCCACCAGCTCTTGCAAACAATCACCAGAGCTCTTTGACCACTGTGGGGTGAATCTTGCCTTCTGTTCCTCCAGTCTCTGGTCACAACCAGGCTGTTTGGTACTGCTGGAGGACACTCCACGCCCCCGTCCCGCACCCGCAGAGCGCTGTAGGAACCGCGCCGGTGACGAGGGCACCCGCGGTGCGCGGCCCTCAGCAGCAGCTCGGTGAAGCCTCCAAATACCGTGTCTCTGTGGCGCAATCGGTTAGCGCGTTCGGCTGTTAACCGAAAGGTTGGTGGTTCGAGCCCACCCAGGGACGCCAGAGGGCTTTTTACGGTGTCCATGTCTTTTTCCTCCCCGGCCTGTGCTTCCCTTACACCGCTGGGAGCTGCATGAGAGCCCCACTCAGCTCAGGGCCTCGCCGTCCCACAGAAGGAGCCTCTCCATAGCAGCTGCCGAGGGAGGGCGATGGGTGCAGCGTCGCCACGCTCCCTGTGCTCGGTCAAGGGCGGCCAGAGAAGCAGAACGTGTGAGCGGGAGTTTCCGTAGTGTAGTGGTTATCACGTTCGCCTAACACGCGAAAGGTCCCCGGTTCGAAACCGGGCGGAAACACCACTTTTTTCCATCCCGCGTCACCGCGGGCGTCATTTCCCCACTTCCTCCTTTAAAACGCGCACATCGTGGAGAACATCCCACACATATGTCCCCGCGAGGGAGAAGGCGAACCGCCTCCCGGACGAGGGGCCAGGGCCGGGCTGGGTGCTCTATGTGGCAGATTTGGCTCATTCCCCTGCACAAGCTTCTCCTCTGAAAGGACACTTTTTCCCCATCTGCGTGCAAGGATGACCTAAAGGAGAAGAACCGAGTCTCAGCAGAGGGGATAAATTTCCTGCAGTGCACATAAAGAAGACACTGGGGAAAGCAGTCCGGGTTGCTCCTGTTTCAGGTGAAGTGAAAGACTGAGATGGGACAAAAGGTTCAAAAATAGTATGATTCCGCCACCAAATAACAGCATTGAACCCACTTTTCCTGAACAGCCACAGGTGCAGAAGATAGTTGGTCCTAGGAACCACTTAAGTTTGGGCTGGAGATAATGCCTGTTAAGGACAACATTTATGGTGCTGCAGCACAAAGCATTTAAAAATCTTATCCTGTCCAGGCAAAGCAAGGCTTGAAGGCAGAGGGATCCTCACTGGAATAAAGTGCTACATTAGGAAATTCAAGTACCCAACTTCTTTCTCACAGCTTACCCTGTCACTTAAATCTTTCTCTGCTACACCAGTGGAAAAAGCAAGCCAGTGACAATAGGGATATAGAAAAATAAAATAAGCCACACAAAAAGTAGAGTTACAGTATGAAAAACTGTAAAACAATGTTTAAATGCTCAAATACATATTTTATACATAAAAATTATGGCCCATCCTCTCTCTAAGCCAAAGAGGTTGAGTACACGCACTCCACTAACAGAGGACTATAAAACAATGGGGGACTCTCCTACTCTTCGATTCTCCACCTCTGGTGTTTGCATTGACAGGTTCTGCAACAGGACCAGTCACCAGGACCACAGACCGCTTTTGTCAACAGGAGCAGGCAGATGCCTCCTTGCCAGGTGCTCCCAAACCCTGCCTTGGGCATCAGAGAAGCCCTTTTTGATAGTCATTTACATGAAAGAGTAATACAGACCCATGTCCAGGGAGAAACACCTCCTGAGAGCTTCTTCAGACTCTAGAAAACATGAGCTGCAGGCATCCAGACCCCAGTGGGTTATCCAAACCTTCTTTACACTCCTTCCCCAGAATTTGCTTTCTTCATGAGCCCCATGGCTTCACTGCGATCTCCTTTGCTGTGCAGCTTCAGCATCCCCCTGTAAACATCTACACTGTCTTTGTGCACAGTGGTGCAAACTCCATCAGCCTTGGAATCCTGTTAACCTTATTCTCTCTCTTGCTCTGTCTGCTCGCAGTCTTAGATCTCTGCTCAGGCTGCAAGCTCTTCCCCTCTGAGCCTGAATCCTTGCAGACTTTAAAGCACAGCACACACCTGGAGCTGGATTATCTGCTCGGAATCTAACGTGCTTTGCTCTAAGCACAAAAGGGCTACCTGGAGAATAGCATGTGTTTAGCTTTGCAAAAGGAACGGAGACAGGATGCAATAGTTGTCATTGATACATTGTCAGGCAGGGAATAATTATTTAAAGCAAAAACCAGTGCTGGAAGAATAAATGGCAATAGCCAGCCATGAAAAAACATGAAGATGAAAATCAGGTTTTGTAATCAGCACCACAACAAATTTCTACAGCAGTGTTCTAGTGGGTATACAGCTAAAAACCCATCCAGGCAGCTCCTTTGCAGATGGGCTGCTTCGGTGCAGGCAAGATGTGAGAGACAGCCCTTTTTTTCCCCTGTACTCTTGAATGTATCACGAATTAGTAAGATCTGAATCAATGCCAGAGCTGATTCTGAACTAAAATCTGTAAATGTCTAAGTACCACGATTGTGCCTTTCCCAAATCAGAAGACATAGACTGACAATATTATGTGATACAAGAGGTGAAGTAACATGTAAAATACCATACATTCAAGTGCTCAAGGCTATTAGGCTTTTGGAAATATACCCTGTAATGCTGATAGAAACCACCAAAATACAGTGACTAACTTCTGCTCACTAATATTTGCTATATGCCCACCTAGTGTAGTTCTAATTGACAGAAAACTAATACAATGCTTTGTGTTCATTTTATGGCAAATAAAAAGCTGCATTTTAAGGCTAGTCTCAAAACAAGCAGTCCAGTAACCAAACGTTTGCTTTGGTCATGGGGTTTTCATTCATTTTCAGCTGAATCCTCACTTGCACAGGATCAGAGGTGGTAAAACATTTATGGAAACAGACAAAGCTGCACAGCATCTTTAGTGAACTACTTCAGGAAAATAAAAGGCAGCAAAGAACTTGCAGCACTAACAGATTTAGTTTTATACTTAATCTCAAGTGCTATTTGTTCTTGGAGCCTTTATATTTGTGTGTACCCAGGCTGTATCCAAGCAGCTGCTGACTGACATCTCTTCCTCGTGGTGCCCTATACATTCTGCATCACACCACCAATTCCAAGCTTCCCCCTTCACTCACCCCTGGGTCTGTGCCATGTCTGGAGCCAGCAGTGAGAGAGTTCCCATTCCACAGCTGCAGGTAGCTGCCACTCAGTCACTCACAGACACTACCTGCACTTGAAGGCAGCTCCCCACTGCCTGGGGAAGCCTCTACAAGTAGTCAGGGTTGGGAGACACAATGCTTTTTAGTGGTTTGCATATAGAGAAACCACTGGTTGCAAAACTCCGCAGGAAAATTCCTATCACCCCTCTAAAGTCTTGAAGAGGCACCTGGTTTATGCACAGATAAATCAAACTCTAATTTTGGTCAGCATTTTAAGATTTTTAATACGGGAATTCACAAACAGGCCAATATCTCACCAGCTGCACACCGGCACTTTGCATTCAGAATCCATGGATTTGTTTTCTACTGTAACGTTACCAATTACACTGAAAACAAAGGAGGAGCTCAAGTTCTTTACAAAGACTTGTATTTCAAGAATGAAACCATTCCTTGTCTGAAGTGCCAGTTCCATAAACATGTACATAATTGCAACAGAAATAGCTTGGCAAGGTGAGTTCAGTGCCACTGACAGTTTTTCAAACACTTCTTGAACCTGGTTCAAGCAATCCAAGACTGTTTAGATCTATAGCCATGCCTTGTAATAACAAATATGTTCAACTACACCTATTGGAAGAGCAAGACTGAGGATTTAATTCTTTTAACTTGAGACCCAAATCAATGAAAAAAATGCAGAATACCTCTAAAAATGGCTGAAATAAAGACTTGCAGAGAAAAATGTCGTTATTTTCAAGTGCAAGAAAAATACAGCTCATCTAATTTAGCACATAATACCCTGAGGTCTGTGTCTGTGAATTTAAAAGACTCCCAACTAGCAAAATGGAAGCTACACAAATCCAGAAACACCAAGATGTGAATCCTTCTGCTTACTCACTGCTGCACTGCCACGTTTTCCATTATTTTCTTCCTATTGGCCTTGCCTCTCCTTGGCACACTCACGTATAGATGGGGTGCACTGCCCTAGCCACGAAAATCTCCTAGTGACAACAGTAATGAGTGTTCACTTACAGTTTAATTCTTAGAAACCTTTCTTCTATTAGTGAATTTGTAGCGATGGATAATGAAAAGTTACATCTGATACTCCTCCTCAGTGCTGCAAACATTGGCCTGAATCTTAGTAATTTTACTTAAAAAATAACCTGGCTCAGAAGAATATTCTGTCAAATTGTATTTTCAGTTACCCAGGATGAAAATTCAATACATGCTCTAACTTTAAATAGGAAAATGTCTACCATGCATCTGCCCTTCCTTGGATCCAAGGGGTGTACACATCAGAGTAAGCTTACACAACAGTAATTCTGAGAGCAGAGCTCCTAGCAGAATACTAGCCTCCAGTTTAGTGTTGCAAATGATCTTTGTATCAAAGGATGCAAACATCTCTGGTTACAGAAGGTACTTTTGTTTTCTTGGGGTTTTTCTTAAATATCAGACAAAGTAACTTCATGAATTGGGTGACCACTACTATCTAAACAATGTTTCTTATACCACTACATCATTAAGACTACTGAAGTTTATTATTACTCAAACTCAGTAGAATACAGATAAGTTTTCCATATTAAAAGCAGCAAAAATTAAGACTCATGGGTGCTTTTAGTTAAAAGTCATTATATCTGACAGGTAAAATAACTGCTTCTCAGAATCATAAAATGCATTAAAATCTTATTTGTCTGCTACAATAAAAAAAAAAACAACAACAAAAAACCAAAAATCCAACCTCAAATAGAAATTGTTCAAGTACAGCCAGTGTGCAACTAAACTAGTTAGAAAATATAATTTAATAGTGCTTTGTTTCAAAATATACATAATATTGAAAAATACTCAAACCCAAGAAACTGAATATTTACCAAGTTTCAAACAAAGTTTCATCAAAATGAGGTAAGTCTATGTCACCTGCCATTGAGCTTGGTGCTGAAATGGAGAACAGGTCTTCAAGGATGTCCTCCCTTGTAGGACTTTCAAAAGCAAGTTTTTTCACACTGGATTTGCTTACTGCATGAAGTTCTGAATTACTGTCCTTTCCAGGACTGTAATAATTATGGTCCTCACTTGTCACTCCTGCATGTGGCACACTGGTCTTCTCATCAGACGCCGTTGTTGGAACACTGCTATCCACCATTTCCATATACATACATTCATCCTCACTTTTTGGAGCCTCTAAGGAAGCAACAGTTGAAGTAGGGGACAGTAACTCCGCCAGTATTTCGTCATTGCTAGTGCACCCTGATATAGAGTTTGTGCTGAATTCAGATTCATTATCTGCAGCATCAATCTGACACTGCAGCTCCCTTAAAAAGCTCTGCAATAATTCACTATCATTGTGAGATTCAGTCTGTGGTGCAGTGCTTACATCTCCATGCACAGGTTTTCCATGTTTCATCTGTTCCACTGCCAGCCTATCTAATGAAGCCAACTTCTTCTTTTTAGCATTAAGTTTCTTTAACAGTTTTAGCCGAAGTTTTTTTGTTTGATCACTGTCTGACTCCTCTGCCTTCCCAGAGTTATGGCTATGTGAATGGAACGGAGTTGCTTTACCTGAGGTACCTAAAGTACTTCCTGACTTAGTCCACGTTGGACCTTCAGTAGTGGTATGACTTGCTGTTGGAAGACGAGTGCTTTGAGAAAATCCTTTGAAAGTTGATAAAGGATGAGTATTATTGCTTTGAGGAACCACTGACTTCAGGGCCTCAGTGGTTTTGTTTGTACCTCTGCTTTGAAATCCACCAAAGTTACTTGCTCCCTTCACGGGCAACCGCACCTCACTTATTTTTTGCATTGAGGGAGTTCTACAACTTCTCTCATTCTTGAGAGCTGAGGCACTCGAAGGCATAAAAGAAGTATTCTTCTTTAATAATTTCTTTACCCAGCTTCCTACAAATCCTCTTTTTTGGTCTTTGTGTGAAGGCTCAAAGGAATTATTGGCAGCAGCAGAATTGGCAACCTGAGAATTCACTACAGTTTTGCTTGCATCTTTTATGTCAGGTGATTTTTGTTTAATATTCTCTACTGGTGACAACTTCTTGTTCAGCTGTAGTTCTGAATTTAATTCATGCAAATCAGTTCTGCCATCTGTTCTTTGAGCAAGTGAGTCAGATGGGTCAGGGTGGTGGGTTTCGGGCACAGGAGGAGTAGTATCTGTTGGGTTCAACTTTTCTAGAGGTAAGCAGATGCTGGAATTTTCATGTAACATGCATTTATTGCTCATAGTTAGACTAGTTCCAGCAAACTCTCTGGTACACGGAGTGTGAGGTGAAAATGCCGATTCCTGCCGTTGGGGTGTGCCCATTTCAACAACAGGGTTATTTCCCACCACTCGTCCATTTGGCAGTGATTTACCTTCTGAGTCAACTTGAATTTCTTCAAGCATCAGTGTTGCAAGATCATCGCGTGCCAGATTTTCTAAACTGTGAGGAACAGTACTTTTATCCTCAGCTACCCGCTGCTGCTTCTTATCTGGATTTCTCACAGAATCCTCTTTGAGATGTTCTGCAGGTATTCTGTCTACAGTGTTATCAAAACCACAGTGCAACACTGTGGAATGTGACTGTGCATTATTGAGAGGAAAATCTTCAATATTTCTACTCTGGAACTGTGAATTTGGTTCTTCTGACACATGTGATGTTTTCTTTTCCCAGATAGCAATATGAATCTCCGAAGCAGGAACTTCAAAACTTGTATGTCTCTTGCAATATGGCCCCTTTAAATCATCACATTCAAGCCAACTTCCTGAAACATAAATAGCAACCGGTGTAGAGACTCAGAGACTTAAAATTGAAGCCACTATCCCCAGACACTTGTCAAGTATTTCTATTACCCCATTCCCCTGATAAGCACAAAATAAAGGTCTCCTCCATTCTTTATTACATCAGAGAAAACTGGGAGATTTTCACTGTAAGATCAAACACAAGCAGAATTTGCAGCAATATTATTATGGGTCGGAGCAGGTCAACACAAAAAAAGTAAGCTAAGGGTTTTTTTTATCTGAGCTAATGATGCTGACATCTTGTCTGAAAATACCTGCACAGGTCTGAGAGAAAAGCCAGCTCTCAAAGTTTCTCTGTAGGCTTTTACATTGGCTGGGTGGGAGGCACAGGGGTTTAAGAGAAACTGCTCATCTAATAGTCTGCATCATCTTCTGCAAATTGTCCATAGATCATGAGCAAATATTTTACAGCTTTAAGAATTTAAAAAAAGATATATAGGATGTATAGGATGTTCCTAACTAGGCACTTCCTAGCTGCTTCCTCTTCCTACTTCTTAAACTCTGGCATTATGATTTAGACAATTTTCATGTTACCACACTTGGTAAGACTACACTCCATTCTCTTTATAGAAACATGAGAACCAAAATATCAGCTTTTCATCTTCTCTGATTATGAAGTTCCTATCAATGGTAGAACCATCACACCATTAGCCATGTTTTTAACATGGATTTGTACCTCCCACCCCTCAGGCACAATAAAGCTCAGAAATGAAAAGAAACTTCAGTAATGCTGGTAGTTCCACAGGTTCCTCCGTTTTCAGCCAAGAACAGATTAATAACTGACTTCAAACTAACCAATACCATATGCCCCAAAGCTGTGCTCACACTGTATTTTTTAACTTTCACAAAGTTACCACGGAAAACAACTCTACGCAAATAACTTCTGCCAGCAAGCACAGTATAGGACAAGACACTTCTTCAGTTAAAGCAAACTGAAACCTTCACCCTGAGTAACAAAGTCCCCACAATTATTCACTAAATTTTAATATGAAGTTTAGAATCCAGACAAAAGAAACCCTTGTTCTTATATATGGACTGTTGAGAGTATTGCAGTAACCCCTAAAACAGTATTTGATGTACATTCATGAAGTATTATAATAGAATTTATGGTTCTTACCATCAGAATTCAAAGACCAGGTTATGAAGTGCTGCTTATCTGTTTGATACTGAATAACAGATGTTATTTGGTAGGTGTTTTCTTCAAACTGAAATGAATAGTTCTCCAGGTTGCTGTGTGGCAAGCCTTCTACAAAATGTAACATTAATACTGCGGGTACTCTAATAAAGAAACAATAAAGAACGAGTTTATTTCAACAAAATAGTGGCAAAAGTTCCTCATGAAACAGTATCTCAAAAGAGTCCTGACCTTTCTATTCTACTCCCACATAGGACTTCAGATTACACAGCAGTCAAAGGATAAGAATACCCCAACTGAATATTCCATTTTCTTATGGATTAGGGGGAAAAATCAATACCACGTAAAAGATTTTGGAAGTGGGGAAAATGTGAAAAAAATAGAGGACACAACTGTGCCATAACCACAGTGGGAAAGGACATTGTTCTGAAGTCCAACTAGTAAACGGATGATCAAACAACATTTTTATCCACCAATGGCAGGGGTTGTGAAATGGCCGACACTGGAGATCAGCTGTCTATATTTACTACTTGGTGTAAGTATTTATGACCTAGCTCAAACACATGCACTGGTCAGCATGTTAAAAACTGCTCTGTTTCATGTTTATTAAACATTATTTGTCATTTCAGCATTTAAGAATTATCTAAAATCTTTAAAAGTGAGTATTTATCAGAATTTAATGTTTAGAACCTCTGCAAACCCAGGATAATAGTTTGGTTTTGAAAGTGATACGTTCAGTAAATTAAGTCTCAGAATTTTACGTATTTGGCTTTCAAGTTCACATATTCAAACTTACTTTTCCAAAATCATCTGTCTTCTTTGAGATCTATCACTACAGTTATTACATGGTCCAACATGAATAGCGTTAAGTGGGTGCCAATCAGGGATTATATTTGTGAATGTCGTTAGTGTTTTCCTAAGTCTGGATACAAACACAGAGTTAAAAAAAAAAAAGAAATGAAAAAAAAGAACAAAAATAGAAAAAAGAATGAAAAAGAAGAGTACGTTGAGTTGCTGATCAGAACACAATAAATATACACATTTTATTAGGAGAGAAAAGTTATAAAAATGTTAAAGCAAAGCCAAATTCTATTCATATTCATGCCATTTGTGTGAATTCCAAAAGTCATCAGTTGTTTTCAGTGGCTCTGTGGCCTTCAGTTTCACAGTATTTGCTCTTCCTCCCTAAGCATGTAATGTCTGTTTCCTTCCCAGTGTAAGACAGACCTTGTACCAGGTTCTGCACAATTTACTGGCTAATGCAGAAGCTCAAGGAGAGAGGAAGAGGCAACAAATTACCTCACAATCCATCTTATACAAGGTCGTGTTTTCAAAACACAGTACACTAAGAGCAGAGATTACATAGAGGTTATACTGTATAAAAATACAATGTACAGGATATTAAAGTGAAATAACGTAGTATATTCATTCATTAGCTACAGAAAGGACTTCCTTTATATTCAACCTAACCTAGTTTTTCAACTTTAAAAAAAACCAACCACAGTAGGTAACAAAGGCCTTTGAACACATCCTATTAACCAGGACTATACAGTAGCTGGCAGCATAACAGACAGCATTAATCTCATCTCACTTGTGGATCTAGAATTCTATTGTATAATCCTGAAATACTGGAGAGAAACAGGTATTTTTCAAGTAAAGTGAGCTG